TCTCTGGAACAATCCTGTAAAGGTTACCCAGCATTTTATTTTGGGAATCCCACAACAGAAGGCGATTTTATTTTAGGTGTACACTGTACACTTTGTAGCTGCTTTCAACAGTGGCTTCTTAGGATCATAAGATCTTGGGCACAACCTCTCCTCCTGTTTCACACATAACCAGCGAGGGTGAATGGTGTCTTTGTCCAAACAGTTCTGTCAGTCTCAGCATTTTATCCTGACACATTTCACCTGGGCACAACTCACCTCTTTGCTTGGCCTCCTCAGTGCTCTAAGCAATTTCACTCAAGTGGCCAGGACTGTTAGTAGGAGCTCACTGCTGAGACATGGAACAGTGCAGCTGAGATTTGGGGCTCCCTCCGTGCAGATATGAGGAGCCTGCACAATTTAAGGAGCCTGCTGGAGGTTAGGCATCCTGCACAAGTGTATATAACAGAGAAATATCTCTGATTTTCCTCTTTTCTTCGAGATTGAAAACTCCCAGGAAGCAGCACAAAGATAACAAATGAAAACCAAGCCAAAATATAATCACTCTAATTATAATGACTACTAAAAAGAGATGGTTGTCAAGAGAGAAGTTCCAGGAGCATTGAAGTCAACTGTCAAGATCCAGCCCATCTGATTGAAAACTGACAATCAAGCCAGCTGAGAGAGCATTACCATGTTATAAAACAGAAGGAAAGGAGCAGCTTGGAGGTTTGATGGTGGAGTTTTTGGTTGTTTGTGGGGTTTTTTTGTGTGCTACAAATTTACAATAGAAAATACATGAAGTGAGAAGAAAACTCATTCTTGCCTGGATTATAAGGTACTCTAATGCAGGATTAACTAGAAAAAGAAATAGTCAATTAAGAAAACTTACATTACTGAAATTTGGTAAAATCTAATTTTCTTGCCTTTAAGCAGTTATGTTAAAAGGTTTCTCAGATGACCTGTGAGGCCTTAAAAGCTGTGAATGAAGTAGGATCTTTGAATTCCCAGTGATTTCTCTTTGAGAATTTAAGTTCTGAGTGTCCTGGTAACCAGCTCACCCAGGTTGCACAGCTGGTGCATGCTGGTGTACACATGTTTATATATATATAAATTCTTTTTAATATGTTAACGTTGTCTACTTCATGGTACTAATTCAGCAGCTAAAACAATCAATTTAAAAGCAGGTAGGGCTATCAGTTAAAATGCAGAAAAAAATGGAAGAACAACAAGAAGAAAATACAGAGGATGATAGAAGAGAATTGCTTTTACTTCTGGTTGCAAGCTGGAGCTCGGCATGTAGTAGGTTGTAGTAGGTAATGCTGACATCTGTGGGTGAGATGGAGAACTGAGTTTATGACACAAGTTAATACTGTCCTAACTAGAGTTTAGGAAGGCAAGTCAGTGTGTGATCCGGATTTAATCTGCTGCCGAGTACATGCAAAGGGCTACCGAAGGAAGCTGATGGAAGGAGATAATTAGGCCAATTTTTTCACAATTTATGTTATGGTAGGAGAACCAGGGAAACTGCCTGTCTCTCTTGACTTTTCCCCAGCCCAGCACCTTAGGCTAGGCTGCTTCTGGCTCCTGCTGTAGCTACTCTGGTCAAATGCTGTTTGAATATTTCCCAGTTTGTCTGCAAACATGTGGCTCTGTGCCACTGGCAGAAGCTCCACTGTGAATGTCTGAAAGTTTTCCATTTGGCAATGAGTGCAAGGCCCTGCTGAGCACCTTCTTGGCTCCCCAAAACTGCATTTCTAAGGCAATGTTCAGGCAGGAGACCTAAACCACAGTGAAATGTAAAATGCAAATGTATCTATAAAAATGTGTTGCTCTCCTCTTAAACAACTAGCAATCATCGAGGTGTTGGGGATTGGGTGCAAAGCTCTTATAAAGCCAAAAAGAAAATTGATTTCTCTTAACTCTTGTACCTGAGTCAGCTGTATTGCAACCTCATGGCTGTGGGTAACACTTCTCTTGTCCTGTGCTCCATTTCTGCATGTGTCAATGAATCCCTCATCGAGGAATCCCCCAGGTCTGGGGATGCATCTCTTGCAGCTGCAGCATGGAACTCGTGGACAGGTTTGCAGTAAGCTGATGCCCTCTGCTGGGTATGAGGGACTCGAGACACGTAAATTCCTTGTTTCAGAGCAGGATAATGGCACAAAACTCCTCCAGAGAGTGAACTGGACAGTTTAATGACAAGGGTTCACACACACTTCCCTACAATATTTTTTAATGCATGTTGGAGGACAGCTGATGATTTGAAATCTAATTGCAGTGAATGAGAAACAGTGGTTCTGGTTCTGGCTTCCACATTGGTGAATATTAGATTATTATTACTATTATTATTATTATTATTATTATTATTATTATTATTATTATTATTATCATCATCATTATAATTATCATTATGTATTACTTTCATTATTATTAATAATATATTAACTGTATCTATATTATATCTATATTATATATACTTATATATATTTAGATATTTATATTATTTAAATATACATTTATATTTATATATTTGTATATTTATACTATATATAAATATTACATAATATTATATATATTTATATATAAATATAAAAATATATATATTGTATAAATAGATACTTATATTATATATTTTTATATATTTAAATATATATTTATATAAATTTGTAAGTTTATTTTTTCATTATATATTAATAATATATTGTATATAATAAATAAATACATATTTAGAATAATGATATATTAAAATAATATTTCTATTTAAATAATATTATTTATATTATTTATATTGGGTTTTATTAATTTGCAATTAATGATCTTTGAACATGTTAATTTCAATAAACTGTTCCTCTACTAGCTGGATTTAAAACAATGTATAATTAGAAGCTGGAGAGAAGTGTCTGAAGGGGCCTTTAAATAAAGTCGAATTAGTGTGGTTAAAAAGCAGTATAAAGAGGAACAAATCTTTCAGAATTTTTGCTGGAGTTACTGGGAAAAAAGACCTGGATCATGAGGAACAATCTACCTTATGTCAGCACATCCTAAATTTCACTGGGGGATCAGTCAAGAAATGCTGCATTTATTGAGACACAAATATGACAAAAGTAATTCTAATTTTAGGGGAAAACTGGAAATTGTGTGTTTGTTTTTTGTGGAGGCCTTGATGCAGACTGCAGCTCACTGTAGCTGTTTCTGTCACACACCAAGTGACAAATGTCCACTTAACCTCTCTGGAGCTCTGTCACTCCATGAGAGCATTTGTGCAGTGTCTGTTGCTCCATTCTGGCTAATATGAGTAATGCCTACGAGAAAAAGGCTAAAAGGAACATTAAAACAGAACTAAAATAGATACAAATTTGTCACCTTAACTGTTTTTTTTCTTTTCCCTTAGAAGTTTTAATTATGACTTCTGGGTTTACAAAACTACAATTTTTGTGTAGGTCTGCCCACTTCCAGCTCTTTCTGATGTCTTGAATGGTAAGAGATTCAAAAGTTAGAAGTTGTCTTATGATAGTTACTGAAGTAATGAATGCAATTTATCAAAAAATCCCAAATTCATGCTGTGTCTAAAGATAAGGTTATAACATATTCCCAAAGATAAATGTCTTTTTGTAACATAATGCTGAAAAAAATAATGCAAACCTTCTCTGAGTTAATTACCTGACTGCACTATCCTGTTATTTGAGTATTTAACACAAATAATCCCAAGGGATATTTAAAGAGTTTTAAACTTTCAGCTTCAAAAAGGGGCATATCCTGTCTCTGGTCTGACCACAGGGTTGTGTGGTAGTATTCACAGGGTAAACAGAAGAACCCTCACTGACTTTTGAAAATGTTAAATTTGACCATGTTCTAAACTTGAAGTCTGCTCTGTGTCAGAAAGTGGAGTGTAAAGGACTGGCTTGGTTTCTTACAGGACCAAGGAGCTTCTGTTCAATAAACTCAACATGATTCATGGGATATGTATTCTTCATAAACCAGAGTCTTTTATTGTCATTGATTTTTGTCTCTTGAATATGTAAACTTTGCCAAGGCATAAATTTTTGCAATTAATGCCAAAAGGGAAGTTTTAATACAGCCACTGAGGTACACTGCAGTTGGCTTCAATGCATGCAGAGATTAAAGTGGTTATGAATTTAATTATGAATTTTGGATTTAATGGGAAGTAGTTGTTTCCTTTGGCTCTATTAAAATAATGTCCTGTTTAACAGTCTTAGCTGGAAGTATGAGTGTGGCTGGGAGTCACATGCACTCAGTTTAGATGATGACAAAATAGTGTGGTGTTTATAAAAACAGAGAAATTCATGCTGTAAGGGTAAAGTTTGACTTGTAGCAATGTCTTATAAGAGAAAAATTATTGTGGAGCACATGGAACTGTATAAAAACATGCTACTGAACTTAATAACACACTACAGCCTAGGAAATGCAGCTAAATGGAAATATCCTAAATATGTTAGGAGGACATGTGAACAGCCAACACCAAAACATAATTTTTTTACCAGAGAAAAACCTACACCCTAAGAGTCCTTAGGGACAGTACTCACTACTTGATGCAGGATTTTAGTCAAACAGCAATCCTGTGCATTGTTAGGAAACAAATGTTTTATTTGGGAAAGTAATCACCTGCTAGTGCATGTGTAAAATGAGAGGCTGAATGTACTAAATTTGTAAAGACTTTATGGAGATAGACAAATACAGTTCCAATAATGAGATGCTATAGGCAACTTAAGTTACTGGTAGTTACTGAATCCAAAATCTGGCTGTGGACCTGAAGTGGTTACACTCATCACACACATGGAAGTCTGTTGAGTTTATTAACAGTGGGTACTACGAACTCTGGTCTAATTAAAACAAATAATAAACACACATAAATGGTTACTCAACCAGATTTTCCCCTCTCACTCTCCTGGAAGTTACCTGTTTGTATTTTCACCTAACTCAAAAGATTGCTTAAGAGATGAAACAGTGAGACACATCCACTGCAACTGCCAATGCTCTGACCAAAAAACACAAGAGTCTCATTATTTTTTATAACAGATTTAATAAAAATGTAGCATCTCAGTGCTTATACTCCAGTGGGACCAGCAGATGTCAGCATAAACTCAAAGCATAACTTTGGATTTTGGAAATGTAACATTCATGACACTTACCAGAACAGAAAAAAAGCACAAAGAAAGATTATACAACTTTACCAAGTAAGTCTGCAAGAAGTTAACAGAATTATTGAAAAACTGTGATCCAACAAACATACAGATCTTACGGGTCATCAAATAGGAAATTTACACAAAACACAACAAAAACACAAAGACTAAAAATGTTACTAAGACTTTGTTTATAAAATACTTTCAATAAGCTTTGTTATAGTGTAGAAGTTTAGTATTATGAGGAAAGATAATGTACCAACCAAAGATATTTCCCACTCATCTGGGGTTTTTGGTAACAGTCTAGACAACCTTGGTTTGGAAACAGACACTCAAGTTCATTTTAGCTGCATATAAACCTTTAAAATCAGTAAAAAGAGGAAAAAGCAGGGAAAGGGCTGTTGAAGTACTGGTTCAGTCCAATTACAGACTGGTAACACAGCAAAATTATTTTAATTTTGTTCTACAGAAACCAACAAAGTAATGAACAATACTTTAACCTGTCAATGCCTTGACAGGTTAATTTCAGTATTTTAATATGAATTAATATTAAATTAATTCATATGAATTAATATAAATTCATATCCTTACGAAGTTATAAGGATAACTTGATCTCAAATCCCAGCAACTGGGATGAGATCTGAACACCTAAATGCTTTTGACTCCTTTTAAAGTGAATAGGATTTGATTTGTCAGATGTAGCTTCAATACTCTACAGAAGATGCAGTATTCACTATAAATATTAAAAAGAGAACTTCATTAATACTGCATGTAAGTTCCTTGAGAACTTTCACAGCATTTCACACAAATGGTGTGAAATGGTACATTCTATAAATGTACCATTCTATGGTACATTCTATGGTAAATTCTATGAAACAATGTATGAAATAGTGAGTGGCTCAGGATAGATCACATTAGAATTTAGCACCTTGTGTTATTGAATATTGAATATTGTGTTGAATTCAACACACCTGAATACAAGTGAGATCTTACCTGGATGACTAAGAAGCCTGAGTACAATGCAGACTCAAGTGATCATAATCACACTGAAAATCACTGTGAAAGTGAGCGCATTCATCACGTGGATCGTGACAAATCCCAACAGCTTCCATTAAACAGCTAAATGCTGAATGTGCTGTGTTTAACCAACACAGGGGCAGTCAGGATTGAACAATTCACACACTACCCAACGTGCTTGTTTCTAATGATCTCTCCTCCCTCGATCTCGATCTGCTCGTAGAGCCACTTGCGGTCACAGCGACACTCCGTGCCGCACTTGTTGGAGCCGCACTTGGGGCAGGCGTAGAAGCAGCCCAGGCAATCCTCATCCAGGCAGTCACACAGGTCCATCCCGCTGTACAGCAGCAGGCCCTGGCTGTCATACACTTTACTCTTGGCTGGTATAACTTGCCTGTGCAATGAAAAACAATTAAGTTACTTTCTGTGTTAAAATCTATTTGGTATTTTGCTGTCAAGTTGCTGATATTTGGGGGGGGGGGGGTTTGCTTTCTTCGGGTGTTCACTTTAACACTGTTAATTTCCAAGATATACATATCTTACTGTATTTGATAACATGTTTCAGTCCTAATTGTATCTCCACTCTGTGCCCAAACTAAGCAGAAGAAACAGAGAGAGAGGGAAGGATGTGTAGCTGGTGAGCAGCACATTTAGTTTCTGTCTCTGTCTGATACAGTTACACTTAGGTGGAGAGCGGAGGCAATGCATTAATGTGACATCAGCCACATTAGAAGGTTGTAACTTGTTATCCAGTAATATCCAGTTTAGATATTAACTTTATCAAAAGGAAGGGAAGGTTCTAACTTGCACACCTTTGTTTACCAAGTGTAAAACTACTGAGTTTACAGAAAGATGATAACCAATATTTGAAGTGTAGCCTACTAGATCTTACTATATTAAAATCTGTCTTATTATCAGAATCTTAGTTTATGCATGTATTCATAGCTACATCTATGGTCTGTGTAGCATTGTGCCTCACAAATACCTTTTTCTGTTTGCCTGAAATATGAACTGTAAGCTAATGTATTATCTTTTATTTATCTCAGTTATAAGAGTGATCTTCAACATTCCTAAAAACCAGGAACCCAATCCATACACACACAAACGTCCACACAGATAAATGTTATAGGCTGACCATCAAGGCTATTTTGTTTTCAAATTAAAGTTAATGTAAATACAACTAACAAATTACCTGTCTGAATTAAACAGTGAGATTTTTGTTTGCAGCCTTCTTTTTTCCCTTTTACTGGTCTCTGGAGTGAATTCTGTCTGTCGTCCTGGGTTAGCAAACTGGAGAGACTTTAAAGCCTTAGCTGTACGCCCCTGAAGAAAGAGAAAATGTCAATTATAAATACAACTCTTAATTCTTTAATTTCCCAGGAGAAACAAGTCTTAAAATCTTTATGCTGGAGAACTATACCTGTCTCTGACCCCAGCAACACAAGCTTTGTGGTACCAGTTTTAATCAATGCTTTCAAATCATCCTGCTATCAGCCTGCTAATCATACTGACATAGAACTGAAAAATACAGCTGGGGAGCAGCCCCTAGAACACAGCTCCTCTTTGCACAGGGTGCATACAGACAAGCTCTTGCACAGATTCTCTTGTTCACAGCCTGAAAAATGCACCCAGCAAGGCACCAGCCACATTCCAAGCTCAGCACGTGGAAAACTGTCCTCCCACACCGGTTCATCACTGCCCCTGACCAAATGCCATGGCCTTCACAGCCCAGACACCACAACAAGAGTACACTTAATTCACCTCAGCGAAGGCTCATTTCATAATGAACTGCAAGAACTCTTTTTTTTTCTTTTTGTTTTTAACTGAAGAGACATCTTTAGAAGCAACTTTTGCAGTGTTAAGTTTCAAGCACAGGAGTTCACTGTTTTCAAGGCTTGAATAACATCTTAAAATACCAACAGCAGTCTGGTATTTACATGAATTTGTGAGTCAGTCACCCTAGTAGACACAACTTTCAAAACTTAGAGGTCATATAACTTGAGAAGAATATTTTTAAGGTTCTCCAAATAAAGGTTTAAATACAGCAAACTCTTGCACATCTAAAAGACTACATCCTTTCTTATTTCTATGAGAGAAAAATTTCATTTATTTATGTAGTAGTTATAGGAACTCCAATAGCTTGCAGAGTACAGTGGGGATGGAAAAACTGATCTATATACATACATCTGGATCCAGTTTTCTTCTTTGTCGCTCCTCAGGTTCCACATCCACACTTCCATTTATTATCTGCATACATTTGGGACAAAGCTTCCAACCAGGAACAAACTGTCTTCCAAACTTGGCACTCAGAAAAGCTGCATCATCTAAGTCAATTGCTCGCAAGTTTTTCTTTGATAGTTTCCTGTGTATGTTAAAGGGATCACAACAGGATTTTTGTAAGTCTTCAAATCTTTCAATGTAAATTTTTGCATGGTGGAAGCAGATTGTGTTGTTCTCTGAGAGGGTTATTCCAGTCCTAAGCTGAAGCAGCAGGAGGTCAGATGAAGATACATCTTGTTTAGTCTTGAAGCCAGTGTGCCGGGTATAATAGGTCTTGTGGCATTCATTGGTAGCTTGAAGCTGGACTCCAACTGAACAAGGATCCATTTCACTTTATCAGAACAATTTATTTCATTTATTTTGCCTAGTATGAATTCTTTGAAGTGTTTAGGAGTTTCTGTAAAGATCACTCTAGAGAAAGCATTAAAATCAATCAGATTTGCAGTGCAGACTTTTATCCATAAGACATACTGGATTTAAGTAAATAAATTATAGCCTTCTAGTCCAGGTAAAACAAAAAAGATACTAAATTTAATCTGGAATAAACCATGCATCTTTGATTCCTTTCAGAGGCTTTTTTTTTTTTGTTTTTTCCTAAAGCAAGTATCTATTACAAATATTTAGTAGCATTACTTTCCCAAAAGCAATCTGGGAGCAAGGTAGGAGGTGGATGAATTGTTCACAAAGCAGTCTGCTCTGGTCATTGGTTTTCCTGGGAACCTCTCTTGGGACAATCCCTGCTAGTCAAGAGCCAACTGCCCATGGCAATGGACTGCTGATGGCTAAACAATTCACCTATCCTGCTTCCAAGGAGTTTCTAAGGAGGAAAAAAAGCTGCAGAAGGCAGGCTGCACAGGCTGGCTGACGTCAGTCTGCAATTCCCATCCAGCAGCACACTTTTGCACATTTTTCCCATGTACATCAGGTGCAGGTCAACACCCTGGATCAACCTGAGCCTTTCCAAGAACCAGTCTGGTGTATGCAGGAAGACTGGCAGTTCCAGATGGGTGCTGTTTTGGGGTCATATGGCCTTTGTGTGCAGCTCCCTGCTGGGCAGTTATCATAAAGTTATATACTAATGCCAAATTAAATTACCAAATGCCAAGTGAGCCACTGCACACTGGTCTCACACCCTGGCTGAAGTCTGTTGCTAGCCCAGTGCTGGTCCTAACACACCAGAGCCTGAGCCCATCTTGTTCTACTTTCCACTGCAACATAAAAAACAAACTTCTACCAAAAGAAAGGAATCACTTCCTCTCAAATCCTCCAAGAACCTTAATTACAATGACTGTAGCTTAACTGGGATGTTTATGTTCACCTACACCCTGTTCTGCAAGGGCAAACCCCAGAAAACTGGAAAAGCAGTGTATGGTTGTGTCTGGGATAGAGTTAAACTCTGCACAGTAGCTGTTGTGGGGCTGTGTTTTGGGTTTGTGACCAAAACAGTGATGCTGATGTTTCAGCAGGGCTCACACAGCATCCCAGCCTTTTCTGCCTCTCATCCTGCCAGCATGGGGCTGGAGTACACAAGAAGTTGGGAAGGGAAGGAGCCAGGACAGCTGACCCCATGGGACCCAAAAGATATTCTAGAGCACAGGGCCTCATGCTGGGCAGTGAAGTGGAGGCTGGTGGGGAGGGGTTGCTGGGAATGGCTGAGCATTGATCTGTTGGTGCTGAGTGATTGTTTTCACTTGCACTGCTTGGTTTTTTCTTGGCTTTTACTTTCTGCTCTTTTTTTTTTTTCTCTTTTTAATTTTCCTTACAATATCTTAAAAAACATTTTTTCATTATTAAGCTGTTTCAGCCCCAACTTTCTCACCTTTCTCTTTCTGATACTCCCTGCAGTGAGGGGGATGAATGAATGACTGTGTGGTGCTTTGCTGCCAGCTGGGGTTAAACTACAACATGCATTTATTTGTTCTAACCACTGAACAGGGTAATACAGCCTTTTAATCAATAAAAGTATCTACCACTTGTCCAGTGCTGAAGAGTCTGGGATTCTACTTTCAATAAAATCAAACCAAACAGCACCATACACAATCTAATGACATGAAATGTGTAAGCTTTGCCAATGTATAGAAATATGAACATGGCAGTGCAAGAGCTTAAAAGAGAATAGTAAGGCAACAGGATTTTTAGAATTAATCTGAAAAGCCACTGGTTGGAGCATTTTTGCAACAGAAATGCTCTGGAGTGCAATACTTCAGTTTTTCTGAAGCAGATGTTTATACCTGAAGCAACTACATTTCCATACATTAAACTGTATGCTCAGAAAGGTCTTGCATAGGACATGATATCTTCTAGCAACTTAACTGATGCAGATATAAATAACCTGAGAAGGCCAGTAAACTTGTCTGAAAATGTAATTTTGTATCTGATTCCAGACACAACTGATTCGAAGTGAAGGACCATTTTTAAACAAGTTTTCTCAGCCTATTGTTAGGAATGCTACAACTTTCACATTTAAATTAATGTAAGAAAAACAGAGGCACAAAGAGTCCTGAATGTAGAGGCACTACATAAAATGCTTTAAAGCTTCAGTCTGCAGAAAAGAATGTGCAAGTTTCACTCTGAAAACCATGCAAACTCAGTTCTGTCTTTTTGCAAGTGATCTGAAAATACAAAGACTTAAATATTCTAATACTTTACACCGATTTCTCAGATCAAGACCCAAATCCTGTATTTTTAGGGCTAGACCTAGTTGCTAGGCCATCTGAACTCTTCACTCAAATTTCTGTAGGCTAAGTTAACTCCTGAAAGTTTTGTGCTTTTCAGATCTGCACTGAATAATAATAACATAAGAAGGGTAGATGTCAATGAAATTTCAAAAAATTCTTATTTTCAGTGTCTGCTGAGCACTGACTCTGCTAAGTTTTAGAACAAAAAAGTTCCACTGCCTTTGCCTATTTACAGATTTTTACTTCAGTACTGACTTTGAATGATTTTTTAAATCTTTTTTAAAAGACCACCTATCAAACTTCACCATCCTAGTGAACCAGCTCTAAATGACAATCTTTTTTTATTAGCTGCAGAAAGTTTGTGTTTCAAGCCATGGTAACTGTAACTGTTAATGATCAAAGTTCACTGCAACTGAGTTAACATTTTAACAGCTATTTAGGCAATACCAAATAACTTTACTCAAAGAAGTTTGTTGCAGGCTCTGCATCAAGCCTGCTTCAGGTGCCAACATGCATTTTTGACTGATTCCTGCTGTGGAAAGTGGGATTTGTGTATGGCTGAAAAACACTAGGGCAATATACAAGTGATGGTCGAAATTTTCAAAATTTGCAGATGGATTTTAAGTCAGGACTCTTCGAAGATGTGCTTATTGAGAAACCAAATTTTTTTTTTGTGAGGAAAAAAACAAAAACAAATAGTTATTACAATGCTATCCCTGTCAGGCATCTGTTTCGACTGCTGACTATGCTGTGTGATATTCTCTGTATTAAACTGCAGAAGAGCACAACAGCTCTGTCACCTCACTTTGTTCAAATGACACAACTCCTGACGCAACTTAGGGATCTCATCCACTTAATTCGCAGGAATTATTGGTGGAAGCTTCAAGGCGTTTCTTTTCTCCCCTTAGGACGAGCACACTGCTGCTTTTCCTGTGAATTCTCCTTGGTGGGAAGAGGAAAGCGCTTGAAACCCCAAACCCCAAGGTTTGTACGTGCACCTGAGCAATGGTTAAGCAGCGCTCACCGTCCCAAACGCCAGAGCCCGGAGGAAAGCCTCGATGAGGGGAGCCCTGGCAGGGAGGAACGCGCCTCACACGGGCAGCGCTGGCCTGAAACGGCCCCGAGAAAGAAAGGCCCGGCTCCTCCGCTGCCGGACGTGGGCCCTCAGGGCCGCCCCGGTACCTCCCCGCGGGCTGTGTCCCGCCGTGCCGGTAGCTCCCCGCGGTGTCTGTCCCGCCGTGTGGGCTGTGTCCCGCCGTGCCGAGCGCCGGCCCTGAGCTCCGTCCCTGCGCGCTGCCCGGCGGGCGGCGGCCATGAACGGCCCCTCACCACCCGAGCCGCGGG